CTGTCTCAAAAATAAGTAAATTTTTAAAATGTGTTCTTCAGGTAGCTTGAAGTTATTATGAATAAATAGCAAGTAGTGATTTATGTCATCGCCAAGGGATCCTGAAGGGTCAGTTCAGGGTTTCTACCAAGGTTTCAGGCCTTTTGCTCTAAATCTTGTTTCAGAAGTTATAGTTTTTCTGTCCTTGCTGAGCTGTTAAGTTATTGGGGGGGGGTCCCTCTTCATTACTGGCTAGGGCAGCCCCTCAACCCATTCAAAAGGTGCTCTTCCTACTACACAATACAATATTTTTCAAATTAGAATAACAGTGCAATTGTTACTGAGTAAAGGTAAGTATATTCTGAGAGAGGGTCAGAAGTACTCTGGATTTTGGTGCCGTCTACTCTAGGTACTAAGTAGACATTTTTGCCTCCTTCCTGCTTCTTGGCCAAGTTTCAGATATGGAGAGAGGCACCACAGGCAGGCTGTGACAAATCCCTCTACAACTCCCGTCCTCCAAAAACCAGCCAAAGCCATCCAGAAGCTCCTTAGCGAATCTCTAGGCAAAACGCAAGGGCTAAATGATTAATCCAGAATCTGGAAAATGGTCCCTACTTTACATAACGGTTCTACATTTTGTGCATTTACATCACTTCGTTACTCAAGCAAGTAGGTATGCTATATAAATAAATAAATAAGGTTTTTACAACAAAGTTTGAGGGAAAAAATTACCAAATGATTTCAAAGAACTTTCAGAGGTTCAACATTCTCATTACCTTACAAGATTTTAAACTCAGGCCTTTGCTTTTAATACTTTGTGTTTACTTGCTTTCCTTACTAACGTGGTAGCTGCTATCCCGGGAAAAATCCTCTCCATTACTTAAAGGGAAAAAATGTTGATCCTACATTTGAGTACCATAAAGATGAGCCTGCATTCAACAGTCCTGGAGAAGTGAACCCAAGCTCCGACATAAAGGACTCTACGTAAAATCTTTGCGGTCTCTAAAACAAGTTTATATAACCTTGTTTTTCAAACCCAAGGCAGCCAAACGAAGGAAGGGAACCGCTGGCAAAAGACAGAGGCAAAGCAAATGTGTCGCAGTTACCCCTGCCCTGGGAAGGTGGCTGGCCGCTCGGCTATTTATCTATTTATTTATTTACTGGTACCTGGGTTCGAACTCGGATCCTTATGCTTGCAAGGCAGGCGGAGGAACCATTGAGCTAGATCCCTGGCCCGGCTCAGCTATTTATAACTGTGGACCCGCCTGGAGGGGCCCTGCACTGTCACCCTGTGAGTGGCAGTGTGGGCTGGGCTGCATGACTCCCTCCCAGTCGCCCTCCATACTTGGCAGTGAGTGCTCCCGTGGGTGCAGTCAGGAAAAGGCCTGCCAGGATTTCCAGCGGTCACTTCCACCCCAGGATTCTATATATGGAAACATCCCATCCTCGGTGTTCGGCATCACAGGGACCACACCAGGCAGCAGGAATGAGGAAGAGGCGCCTCTCCTCTGCTGACTCCTCTGGCTACCTCACTTCCGGGCCTCGAGCCCCTGCCAGGCCTAGACCTAGTGACCCAATGGCAGGCAGGGCAGCCCTCTCTGCCCGGGCTCCAGCACTAACACGGAACAGCTGGGAGAGGACCCTGCATTCTTTCCTCTGCAAGAACACTGGGGGCTCTGTTCACCCTCCTGCTGCAGCGTCCTGAACCAAGAATTCCCCCTTCCAAACTCTCAACCCTAAGACCTTTTCCCCAGCCCGGCCTCCCCTGGCTGCTGAGGATTTAATTTCAATCTGTCACCACCCCCGCCAGCACACGGCAAACTGTTGGACCTTCCAAGTGCAGTCACTTTCTATACCACTCGAGGTGTCTGTCAATGCCAGCAGGGTCAGATAAACAATTCTGCTCCATTCAGAAAAGTTCCCAACAGAAAGCACCGAGGAACCCCATTTCTGCCTGCGCCCCCTCTGAGACCTTTATCAGCAGAGATAACGTCATGACCAGTGAGCTTATCCCACCACAGCCCTGCTGCGAATGCCACTTCCACAGTGTGTAGCGTCGCCTACATAGTATTCTGAAGGCAAACCTCTAAAACCACCATATCCACGGGGGGGCGGGGGTGCTTTTCCGGCAGCCCGGCCTGAGCTGGGCACTGGTGGGCAGTCCCGGGCTTCTTCGTGTGTTGCTGAAATCCAGCAAGCCATGCTGCCCAAAATGGGGGGGGGGGGGGGCCCAGAAAATCCAGACTCTACGTGACACCCAGAAAATACACACTACGTGACCTGACTCACTTATTTCCCAGGAAACTGCATGGGAGAAAAATCAATCATCCATGCTACCGTAGCTACCGCAACAAGGAACGGGCCGAGAGGCCGGCCTAGGTGAAGGGGTGGCAAGATCCGGGTCAGGGGCACAGGGTGACAGGGTCCCTGCGGGCCGCGCCGTCCCTGGAGGGGGACTCGGCGCAGTCGGCCAGCGAGTGGTCCAGGCAGAGCTGGAGGAAGCGAGCCTGGGTCTGGCTCACGCGCTTGAGCAGCGACAGCAGCGCAACAGTCTGCTCGCACTCGTTCCAGCCCTTAAACCAGCCCGCCAGCACCCCGACCTGGTCGCGAAACATCATGGTTGAGGGGTTGCCCTCGGTCTACGAAGCCCCCTCGCCCGCCCCGCCCGGCCCAAAGTTTGACGGAGCCGCAGCCCCACGGCCCCTCCCCTCCGGAGACGCGTCCCGGTGCCAAGGTGGCCCGGGCGCCGG